TGTAAGTCAGGGAATATTGTAAAATTTAAAAATGCAATACGCATAAAAATTATGTCATGCAAGAAAACAGTGTTGCTGACACTGTCTGGGAGAATTGTACTGTTCCAGAACACCACATATCACTCAATTGCATTACCCAAACATGTAATTTGAGTTTTTGTGATTTGTGAGATTTGTGTTTTTGCCATACTGCATGGAGGACCCTCTCCCCACTGAATGCTATTTCTTAAAATTATTCTTGCACTGGTGCAAGGTATTACCTATGAAAATGGTCAGAATGTATTTTAAACATTTGCCCCTCCATTGAATTCAATGGGGTTCGGATTAAAGTTCACAATTTTCAGATTTTACAATCAGTATGACAAATGGCATGCAAATTAAACCCAAGCACATTTGCTCATCACTACACATGATTTAGCAGCCTGTTAAGCTATGGCTCTGCTAATGTATTACAGCCCTTGGAATGTGTCCTCTGAATCTTTAAAGAAATGGTCCCCCCTTACTGGCCCCCCCTGGTACTGAAAGGTATAGATACGGGTGAAATAGTAGGTAAAAAATGTTTTTTTCTTCCCAGTACCCATGTCTATACACTTATGGTTAACATGTGCATAGCAAAAGTTAATGCTTTTAAAGGCACATTTACCATTTAGTTCAATTAATAAACCATCATACCATGTCTTATGAGTTATTCCTAACTTGTCCATAATAACATCTTTTATGAAAAAACAACTGTTCTATTGTCAGTTAAATGTGTATTTTTATTTTGAATACAATAGGTCAGATGACCTGTTTTAACTTTATTGTATCTTTTGCTGTCAAGTTGCGCATGGATGGAATTGTAGACATTCACTGTAATGGTGGAGTTTTAAGAACAACCTCCTGTAGTGTAAATAGAGATTAAAACTGAGTTCAGAACTGCTCACATATAGTTTATTACTAAACCTGTTCCAAAAAATAACTGTCGGCAAGTACAAAACACATCAATTATTGCTACTAGTATAATAACTGTCTATAATGATAGCAACTTCATGCTGTCATGTCAGCTTTATCACTACAGAAGGGAAGATAGGAAGTTGTATCTTTTGTCAGACAGCCTTGAAAAAGCTCATCTGATGCATCTCTCCTCTTGTTTTCATCTCTCTTGAGAAAAATTATAGTAATAATAATAAATAGCAGCCACTGAACCAACTCAGCTTGTCAATAGTCTTCATTGGCTATAGCACAAACTTCACATTACCTGCCAGTTAATCTTACATGGCATCCATTATCTGTGTCCTCGCAGTTACTAGTCTTTAACAGTGAGTTAAAGGGCTGCAGGATGAGTTTAGCAGTAGCTCAATATTAAATCATTGTGCTATTATATTTATTTTTTGTTTTCTTTTAGAGAATTTTAAAAATGAATTCTTGTTTTTCTAATAGAACATTCATGTTTATACTAATATATGTATGCGGTAGAATGCATTTCATTATCAATTATCAATGACATTGACATTTTGCTGTGACCAAGACAGGAAAAGAGAGGAATTCCGTGCAACAGTAGAAAAAAAAAAAATTGAAAAAGTGTTTATAACCCTTTTCTGTTCAACTAAAACAGTGTTTAACTGCTGTCTGTTTCCCTGACAAAAAAGATTTCACCTTACTTCCTGTACTAATGAATATTGACAATACTATAAGGAAATTTTGGCCACTTTTAATCATTCTCATTCAGAAAGGAGCTAATGGATATTTCTGCTCTGACTAATGACCAACTAAGTTCAGTGTCTTAACACCATACACTCTTTAAAGTGTAATGTAAAGCCAAAATGTTTTGGTTATGGATAGAATAGGAGAAGGCTAAAAGCTCAGTTTTGTCCCATTAGTGAGATTTCCCTTTGCTACCCTTTGCAGAGACACAAAATGGAGTAAAAGGAAATGTATGCAAAGTGAGTGAAATCCCTCTTTTTAAATAATGGTCACTAGAGCACATATTCCCAATGGAAAATTTACTATCATCTTCTTTTCTGGTGACAACTGTAAAATGTTGGATTTCCCATTACCTATTGTGCCATTAAAAATGGTTACCAGGACAAATGGGGGGGGGGGGAGTATCTCTTAAGTGGAAATACAGACAGCAATAAAAACTTGATAGTGTCACAGGAAAAGAGCTGTGTAACAAACTGTGCTCACCCCTAGGAAAATGTCATCTGTAGTTTAAATAGATGAGATGAGCCCAATAAGGCCCTCCACTAGCTGGGTGATTTTCAGAGCTTGATTAGGATTGCGTGAGTGTGATGAAAAAACAATGAAATCCTGGAATGATGCTGAAAATAATGCCCACTGGGGACACAATCTTTTGTACAACTGTTCAGCTTCTTTTTCGCTCAGGGGCGGACTGACAACTCATGGGGCCCCGGTAATAGGGGATCATGGGTCCCCTGTGTCCTTGCCCAAACTCAAAAAAGCCTATGAACTAGGTACCAGGGGCATTTCATGGGGCCCCCTACTGACCCCGGGCCCTCGGGCAGCGCCCAAGTTTCCAAATGATCAGTCCGCCCCTGTTTTTGCTATAAAATCATCACCAATTTCAACACTGATCATTGTCAACCATGCAGATCATTGTAGATATAAGTGCACATGGTTGTTATGCGTATATAACCCATTGAAACAGTGTTAGATGCAGTACTTTAACCACTTTATAGTCGAATGAAGGCTATAGCGCGGTCATCCAGTTCTGGGAGGGCATCATATGATGTCCTCCTAGAATGTGCCTCCAGCAGCCCTCACCCGGCGCTGTCTGTGACCTCTGTGTCCTTTGTACTGCTGGTACCTGGCAAATGTCAAAGCAGACATCTGTGCCCTAATTATCAGTGTAGCCCCAAAGTTTATAGTGCAAAAAATAAAAACTCCAGTGGTGATTAAATACCGCCAAAAGAAAGCTCTATTTGTGTGTAAAAAAAATTATAAAAATTTCATATGGATACAGTGTTGCATGACTGCGCAATTGTCATTCAAAGTGTGACAGTGCTGAAAGCTGAAAATTGGCCTGGGCAGGAAGGGGTGCCCAGTAGGCAAGTGGTTAAAATGAACATTAGATGGCGGTGGCCTGCCATTCAGGGTCATTCACATTTGGCAAAGCAGCCCTCTGGAACTTGTATGCTGAACAGCAGGAGTCGAATGGTGGGCAGGACACGCAGGGAATGCATTTCCCAGGGGAGGAAGCGTGTGGGCAGGGGCATATAAATATCAAAGTCCGGGAGACTGGCCAGGAGAGCGAGGGGGAGACTGAGAGAGGAGGAAGTGTGCTGATGGCTGAAGTGCTGAACTAGGCCGCAGAGCCAGAGTTGGAGAGGAAGAAGGAGCAGAAAGAGCCTACTGATTGCCTATCCTGCCAAACTGCCCAGCAAGCCAATCTGTTAGCAGGAGACCAGGTGGGACACCATATTGGAACCAGAGAGTCTGTGTGGGGCCCTCATCTGCCGCAAAAAGCCGGATCGCTATCATCTGCCGGACCAAACGGCTCGGGTGAGAGAGTCCCAAGTATCCACTAACTAAGGAAACACTGACAGTATCATCATCTCAGCTATCTACCTGCACATAGTTGTGAACATTACATATAGTTGCCCCAGATTGTGGCCTAGTTCCCCCAGCTGCCTCTGTGGGAATATATCGGCATTACAGTCACGTCAGCCAAGCTGACCACAGGACATACATTTGCAGGCCAGAATACAGAAGTGCCAACTGAAACAACAAGTTCCCTTTTTTTCCTACTACTGTTGCCTTTGTCCTTGTCCATAGACACTTATGCCAATTGTTATCCTCCACTATTTCAAGTCTACCTTTTATCTACTGCAAGGGTCTCCAAACTATGTCCTTCCAGGTGTTGACCATGATCATATATGGTCAAAGATATGACAGGGATTTATGGGGGGTTTTACATTACAGTAGCTCTAGGGTGGTGGTAGTGGTGGTGATACATTGTTAGGCAGTGAGTTGTCATGAATGACAATGTTATTCATGTTAATATGCATTGTTAACATGCACTTTTGGTTAATACCCAAATCCAGAAACATACCGGGGTAAACAATATTAGTATCAGTAAGGAAAATAGCATGGAGGGGAAAGCAATACTATAAATGGTGAAAACGCTTTAGTATCAGTGTGCAAAAAAGCACTAATATTTGTCAGGGAGAAAAGGCATTAGCATGTCTAGGTGGAAAAACATATGTATTTTTGGGGGGGAAAAAGTAGAATTTTTGTACTCACCATAAAATCCTTTGCTTGGAGTACATTGAGGGATACAGCTTGATAGTATTGAGTAATATAAACTGAAGTAGAGGGAGAATAATCTTAGGAGTTTGGATCCAAGCTCGCACATCCTGTGCAGTTGCTGTATTGCTTAGCCATCAAACTAGCTAGGCCAACCGTGAGCAACTACCAAGGTCCACAAATAAAATAAGGGTATTTGTATTTTCTTATCTGATGGGAGAGCATTGGGTATGCTAGTTTGATGGGAGTGATTTGGGAGTGCTAGCAGTGCTTTGGGGTGGTAAGCACCAACCTGCCATTCACCCTGCCTGGTGCTCTGTTTATGTGGTGCTCAGGGCACATGCCATACATGCCATACAGGGCCAAACAGCAATAATGAATGCCCAGCAACAATAGTAATCCCCACTGTCCCCAGCAATAACAGACCATCATCAGCAATAATAGGTGCCCACTTTCCAAAATGTAGCCATTCTAACCACTTGCCTACTGGGCACTTTTACCCCCTTTCATGCCCAGGAAAATTTTCAGCTTTCAGTGCTGTCACACTTTGAATGACAATTGCGCACTCATACAATACTGTACCCATATGAAATTTTTATCATTTTTTTCACACAAATAGAGATTTCTTTTGGTGGTATTTAATCACCGCTGGGTGTTTTATTTTTTGCACTATAAACAAAAAAACACAGCTAAAATTTGAAAAAAAAAAAGTTTTTCTAAATTTTGCAAACAGGTAATTTTTTTCTCCTTCACTGATGTGTGTTGATGAGGTTGCACTGATGGGCACTGATAGGCAGCACTGATGATACTGCACTGATATGCAGCAATGATGGGCACTGATATGCGGCACTGATTGGTGACACTGACAGGCGGTGCTAACTGGTGGCACTGACTGATAGCACTGACTGTCGGCACTGACTGGCAACACTGCTGGGCACTAACTAGTGGTACTGCTAGGCACTAATGGGTGGCACTGCTGGGTACTGATGGGCGCAAGTGCTGGGCAACACTGATGGGGGCACTGCTGGGCACTTATGGGGGGCACTGCTGGGCACTGATTGGCACTGGTGGGAGGTGGTGATGGGCATTGATGTGCACTGGTGGGTGGCACTGCTGGGCGATGCTGTTGGGCACTGATCATCAGTGCCCTGATGATCAGTGCCGATCTGTTCTATGACAATTGCCGGTTATCTGCAGTACTTTCCTCATACTGTGACCATGACGAAAGTGCTGCCGATAACCGGCAACTGTATTTACTCCGTGATTTGCTGTGTCATTGGACACAGCTAACTTGTTAAAAGGCCGCTGTGATTGGTCCTTTACCTCACCATGTGATCAGCTGTGTCTGTAGGGTGGGAGGGCACGTTCTGGGAGATTGTTATATGATGCCCTCCCAGAACTGGGCAACCATGCTGTAGCTGTCATTCGGCTATAGCACAATTGGCAAGAGATTAATGGTGTCTCTACTGTCCTGGCACTCCAGGGCCTCCAGAAATGTAATAGGTAGGCAGGAAATGCTTATTGTATGCCCCTTGAAATTTTAAGTGTGCTCCTTGAGTTTTGGACCCCTCTATGCGACTAAGCTGCAAAAAAAGTCTCACATATATGGTATCTCTATACTTGGAATGGGTATCAGAATGTGTTTTGGGTGTAATTTTAAGTATACATGTGATGAGCAATATCTTTGACAACATTGTGTAAAAAAACATATTTTCACTTTCTTAAGTTTTCAAAAAATATGACAAAAATTTAATCTTCAAAGTGTTTCAGAATGTTTAGTCATATGTTTTTTCCTTTTCACAGTAAAAAAACCCCTATAATTGTAATTTTACTTTCACTTTAAATAGTGAAGCTGACCCAGACAAACTATTTCCTTTACTAATTGATGCAGTCACTGTCAGCACTAAACTGTATGTAGCATCAGCTGCATACAGTATATACTGCATCTGTTACTGTGTTCTCACAGGGGTACTTCTTGTCTTCTCCTGGGAAAAAATCTTGTCAGCCATTCACAGAAAGCCTTGCATTTTTATCAGTGAATACAAGGCTTCCTAATATTTGTTGAGATGGATATCATGACATCATTTGTCTGCCTCTCTACCTAAGAGGAAGCCCTCTATTCAGCCTGAATCAAGTTTGCTTTGGCAGCAATCATGAAGTCCCCCTAATGCTGCCAGAATACAGCACTGCATACTGTATGTAGTTGATGCCAGGCCCAGACTGGCTATAGGGCACTTGCCCAGTGGTCCTGGGCTGCCATGCACAGCCCTGAGGCTGGTACCAGTCCTTGGCCTGTTGATGACTGGGCCGCATATCAGGAGGTAAGTGGCGACCGTGGTCTGGACAGGGCTAACACAGACTGCGGTCACCACTCACCTCCCACTATGTGGCTGTGCCTGTGTCTCCTCTCCTGTTCCTCTGTGAGGGGAGCTGGAGATCTGCACTGACACCCCTTCCCCAGCCGATCTAGCCCTGATCCCCCTGGATCAGTGCACAAACCAAACACAGAAGACTGAGGAGTGTGGAGGGAGCAGGACCTGGACTGACACTTGGGAGGAATGTTCAGGGACCACACTACGCTCAGTCATTGGCTGCAGAGCGACGACACGTGACCAGTGGAGAGGCAGAAGAAGTAGAAGTACAGAGAGAGCTCTGGTGTGAGCGAGAGAAATAGAGATCCTGGAGAGAGGAAGAGAAGGAGAAAGACAGAGAGAGAAGGAGAAAGAAAGAAGGAGAGAAAAATAGGAGATAAATAGGAGAGAGAGAGAAGGAGAGAGAAAGAGAGAAGGAGAGAGAAAGAGAGAAGGAGAGAGAGAGGGGGGGGTGATAGGAGAGAGAGAGAAAGAGAGAGAGATAAGGAGAAATAGAAGGAGGAGGGAGAGAGAGAAAGAGAGAAGGAGAGAGAAGGAGAGAGAAGGAGAGAAAGAGAGAAGGAGAGAGAAGGAGAGAGAGAGAGAAGGAGAGAGAAGGAGAGAGAGAGAGAGAGAGAGAGAGAGAGGGTGATAGGAGAGAGAAGGAGAGAGAGAGTAGAGAGAGAAGGAGAGGGGGGGGGAGGGAGAGAGAGAGAGAAGGAGAGAGAAGGTGATAGGAGAGAGAAGGAGAGAGAGAGGAGAGAGGGAAGGAGACAGAAGGAGAGAGGGAGAGAGAGAGAGAGGGTGCTATGCGGCCATGCCTGTGTGTCCTATCCAGGGTCTCCCATCCCGCCGACAATGTCATCCAATCAGCAGGGTAGGGGGTGGGAGGAGCTGCACAGAGAGCAGGAGTATTTTTATATTTACCATGATCCAGATTTGCAGCTTCTGTGTGGGCAGGGGCAGACTGTCAACTCATGGGGTCCCTGGGCAATAGGGGATCATGGGGCCCCTGTGTCCTTGCCCAAACTCAAAAAAGCCTATAAAAAAGGTACCAGGGGCATATCTCATGGGGCCCCCTACTGACCCCGGGCCCACAGGCTTTGCCTGAGTTTCCAAATGGTCAGTCCGCCCCTGTGTGTGGGGAAGGCAGAGTGTAAAAGGGAGACACAGTGATTACAGAGAAAAGAGGCAGGGGCATGACTGCAAGGGGCACTGTGATATAAAAGGGACTGCCCTGTAATCATTTCCGTGCCCCTTTACATTACAGTGCGGAGGACCTAAGAACCTACTTCATGAATATCCCATCACCAACCTCACCTGTGAATGCCCACTACCCCCCTCTGCCCCCCCCCCCCCCCTGATAAATTGGCTGCTCAGTCTAAAATGCCCGGGCCTAATTTTGTCCCAGCCCGGGCCTGGTTGATGCTATGTGCAGTATATACAGAGCTGACAGAGGTTGCATCAATTGGCAAAGGAAAAAGGTCACTTGGGCTAGCTTGGCCCAAACTAATTATTTAAATTGAAAGTAAACATGGATTTAGGCTTTAAATACCACCAAAAGAAAGCTCTATCTGTCCCAAAAAAATAAAATACATTTTTTTCTGGTATAATGTTGCGTGACCAAGAAATTATCATTGAAAGTATGACAGTGGTGAAAACAGAAAAATGGCCTGGACAGGAAAAAGAGTTTAACAAGTGGTTAAAGGAATTATGTATATTTAATGTCGCCGTATTAAAAGGACTGTTGTCTGCTAGGGGTTTACATGAAGATTTTTTTTTATTACAAAAAACTGTCCGGCAGGGCAGCATTATTTTCCAACATTTTGTGCCAATTTAATTTTTCTTGCTAAATGTAACTTTTGCTATAGTACATTCTAAAGATGCTTCACTTCAAAAGCAGATTTAGGTGTCCTCCAAACATGGAAGGAATCGTGCATTTTTAATGGTTCACTTTTAGCCTTATTAAAACAGCTGATCCCAATCAAACTGTATTAAACAAATATCCTCCTGGCAGTGCCCAGCTTCTTATACCCTTTGTTGGATAATTCTTGTCTATTAGCCTTGAAAATGGAGAGAACTGGCTTTCGAGGTTCTCCTCCCTTTGAATTCAATGAGGCATGCCTTAATGTTCGCATTTTGTGGGTTTTTCGACATGTTCATCAAACCTGTTCTCCTTTCAAACCAAAGCAGATTTGCTCATCATTGTTCATTAGCGGGTTAAAAAAACTCACAAAATTGTATCTTTAGTACCACAACAAAACTTTTCACAAAGACTTTTAAATATAGTGGATTTTACCAGTTGAATACATTTATTTCTAAGGGCTTGTGTGTTGATTAGGAAGAACAAAACAATGCTCAATATTGGACCTTCAGTGTTTATGGTTCTTTAAATGCATTTTTGTTGTGTTTTTAGAGCATTGAAAAAGGACTCTTGTTAAATGTCCATGACAGTGTTGTTTTTCTAGTGTGATGTGCTTAAAAGGGAAGTGATGTAGATGGAATTATCTAATTTGAGGCGTGGCTAGACTGTGGTGATGATAGCAGGCATTTTTGTGAATTCTCTGCAAGTTGGGTCTTTGATCTCTTTGACACCTTGCTCAAAATGAACATGAAAAGTATGGCCAAACGGAAAAAGAGGAGGGTGTTGTGCCATCATTAGGGTGCATCCCATAGTCTTGCAGAGAATTCCCAAGGTGCACTTCCATACTCTTTATCACAAATTGTGGGCATACTCCCAAAAGTTCTTTGATTATAGGTCACTTGCTAGCACCAACACATTTCTGACAGAAAAAGCTTTACCACTATAATGCTTAGTGCCTTTGCTCTGGCACTTAGTATTGCTGACTGGCTTGATGCTTTTCACAAAAAAAGTCAGAATATATCAGGGAGTAGCTAAATATGTATGTGTATACCAAAACCCGATTCCTGGGGAGGTGCCTCCAATAAACAACCATAATCCAAAATAGAACAATTATATGGATCTGACACCTAATGTGGCTAATACAAAGTATTTGTTATCATTTCCATGTAAAAAAAAATAAAATTGACATTTGATTCCAGTACGAAGACCCGACTAATCCCCTTCCAATGTCACTATTCCCCTCTCCCCCCGACCTCCCCACTCAACCTGTATGTACTCTCTGATACCCCCTCCCCTTCAAAATTCCCCCTGAACTGTTGGATGTAGGATAGGACACCTTGCAAGGAGATGATGGGTGGATTAACCCATGAAACACAGGGTATTAAAACAATCACAAACCCATATAGCGCACTACAAGTTCGAGCCTTCAAGTTCCAATGTCCAATAATCTGTAGAGACGGGGGGAGCAGATGGAATGAAAAATGCCCAAACGATACATGTACATTGAACAATTAAAAAATAGTACACTTACGCTTTTCAAAGGACACACCTTCAAAATCTGCATCTGTTGATAGTATAATGATTTAATAACTTCTTTAAAATTAACCCTTTAAT